CTCCAACCCATACCTGCGGCGTATCGCGTGCGCGCGAGCTCCGCAAGTGAGGCGCATAACGCACGTGTAAGCATGCACGCGCAAGTGATGCGACGCGCCCCACTAAATAGGGTATACAAAAAAATTTGGAGAAGGCTGGCTGAGGTATCCAATGGTTCACCTCCCCACAGAAAAAAAAATAGGGCCCACGTATTCCTTCTTGAATAGTCTTTTTCACGACTGTTTTCTGAGCCGTCGGCTACCGCCGATCGGTCGGTACAATACGGTCGGCGGTCGGCCCGACCGGTCGAGGGGATGCAAACCTGCCTGTTATAATAAAGTCAAGCCCGGATGGGAGTAGGACCGAACTTTCGGAAGTGGATCAGGGTTCTGTTTAATGGCGCGCCTGTGCAGGTCCAAGTGAACGGCCATCTATCTGCGACAAAAAAATATAAGATATCTCGATCGGTCAGACAGGGAGATCCCCTAGCGCCACCTATCTCCCTCTTCATAATGGAGGCAGTGGCTTCCTTCCTCCTGAAGGACCTATCAATACAGCATCTGATCATGGAGCCCGATCAGCAATGGCGACTGATACGCCTCCCCATTACACTGCTGTTTGCAGACGGCCTCACAATACTGATCAGGGCATCGGACTCCTTTCAGGCACTGCGGAGGCATTTCAGCGGGCATCCGAAATGAAAATAAACTGGTTGAAGACAGTCGGCTGGTGGTTGACAGACCAAGAAGGCGCAGGGGCAGACACCACCATCAAACCATAGGGGTTACAATGGAACACAGCACAAACACCCTTACGATACTTGGGAGTCGAGATCACAGAAGCGGGAAGTGTATGCCCAAGTCAACTGGAATTTTCTTCAACAATACATGGAGCGGATGGGAGGGAACTGAGATTTCGAAGGTGGATCAGTGTTCTGTATAATATTGCGCACAGGTGGGTCCAAGTGAACGGCCATCTATCTGCGAAATATAAGATGTCTCGATCGGTCAGACAGGGAGATCCCATGGCGGCACTATCTTCGTCTTCATAATGGAGGCAGTGGCTTCCTTTCTCCGGAAGGACCCAGCGATACAGCCCCCGATCATGGATGGTGATCAGCAGGGCGATTGATACGCCTCCCCACGATGCTGCTGTTTGCAGACGACCTCACAGTACTGATCAGGGCATCGGACTACTTTCAGGCGCTGACACGGGTGGAGACATTTCAGCTGGGATCTGAAATGAAAATAAACTGGACGAAGACAGTCGGCTGGTGGTTGACAAACCAAGAAGGGGCAGGGGCAGACCCCACCATCAATCCGGAGGGGTTAAAATGGAACACAACACAAACACCCTTACGATAAGTGGGAGTCAAGATCACGGAAGCAGGACCCCATCACTCCATGGCTGCCGAGCTGATGTCCAAGATCTTGGCAAAATTGGAGGCTTGGTCAGTGGTCTACACATCGGTATTCTTAAGGGCACTGATTTTGAATGCATCCATCTTCTCGATGCTATTGTATGCAGGGACGATCTGGAGTTCCCCGCTCCAGATAGCATCCACACTGAGAAGAAAAGTGGTTGCTTACCTCTGGACTTCAAACCCAACCAAACCTCACTTCACCTCTAAAGTGGCGTGGAAACACATGACTCACATGAAGGAACAGGGGGGTCCGGACATTATAGATCGAGAACAGCAGCTCAAAACGCTCCAAAAGAAGTGGGTGATTAAGTTGATCACCCATCAGAAGTTGACATGGGTACCACTGGCCCTAGACCGAATCAGACAATGGGCTAAATACAATACCACTTCTAACATGTCAGGTCTATTTTGGATAATGTGCAGCAGCTGGGCCAAAGCCAGCAGAGAGGAAGGAACACCAACGGACGCAGCAAGCAGTGCAAGAGAGGGATCCTACTGGGGCCAATTGATGCCACGCACAAGGGAGGAAGTGCTTCACCAACCCCTCCTTTGCACTACAAGAATCAAGGGCATTTAGGGGAAGCCACTTACTCTTGCGGCGAAGGACACCAAATGGAGGACCTGGGTGGAGCATGGAGTATGGCAGATCAAACATCTCTGGGCAGAGGACAAGAAACTATGGAAGACAGCGAGGGAACTCAGGGTTGAACTGAAGGGAAGTCATACCGTTGGAAAACCTGAATGGCCTCTTCCTATCCATACCAGAGGGATGGACCAAGATGCTGTGGAAGGACCCTCAGTGGGTTTTAGGAGATTGGGATACATGGTGACGGGAGGAGGAGCCACGAGAAGCCTTTCGTATCTGGGGCGTGGAGCCCTCAAGGAAGGCATGGATGAATGCAGACATGTATACCATCAGAAACCCGGAAGCACCACCAGTCTATTGGACCAAGCAACCAAGATGCCAATCACTGTCCAGGAACACCTCATGCGCAAGGTAAGACTGGTGGAATCGGAGGACTTCACAATCGTCAGCTCATTCACCTCTGTGGAAGACCTGGAGGTGAACCCCGGGGAATGGGCCTGGAATCTTTGAGGGGGAAGACTGCGAGTCACCAGACACATTAACATGCTGCACTACGCTACTCGCATTGGCTACCGCCTAAGAAGGCGCTCTCATCCCCTCGCAGCATCATTGGCCAAACGTTGGGAGGACAGAGTGGGGATCCCACCAGAGCAACTACCAAGAATACCATGGATGTTGATCAATACGATATGCGTTGGACGGGTCAAGAGCATGCAGCGGTTAATAGCCCATGTGGCGCTGCCTGTAAACGCCTGCCAAATGAGCTGAGGAGTAGGGCACAGAGGGACCCCGCTAATGCACTTTGCGGAGTCTGTCAGGAGGGGGTCCCAGAAACAATGATCCATTGCTTATTGACGCGTCCAGAGGCAATTAACCTATGGGAGATGGCTGGGACCCTATGGGAACGGATCACATCAGTGTCATTCCCAGAGAACAGGGCCACCCTGCTCTTGGCAATGATTTCCCAAAGGGATGGCAGCCAGTCGAGAAGAGTATCTTCCAGCTGTTAAGACAATACATACTATGGACCATTTGGAAGACGCAGTTTCAGATCACTATTGAAAAGAGGCAATGCACAGACAGGAAGCAAGAGAGATCTACTACAGTCTGCTGGAAACAGACCTCCAGGCGCAGTGGAAAAGAGCACAGCGACGAATATGCCCTGGGACGACACATGGTGTGATTTATGCATACACTGCCTGCGCAGCGCCCAAGGGGTCTAGGTCCATGGTTGTAAGAATGCTGGATAGGGCCATAGGGAGGGCTGCTTGAGTGCTTGGTCTTAGGGGGTCTTAGGATCAGGGTCTTATCTTGGCTCCACCATGGGCCGGGGGGGGGGATAGGTTAGGGTAGATTAAAAGGGGAGGGTTTACAGCCTAGACTGTCGGTACGACGATAACCCAAGAACTGTCGAACACTGTCTAACCGTCGATACCTCAATACCTTTGTGTGACCACTTGGACTCTCCGATCTGTCAGTCTTGTCAGTATTTACTTGTCCGTGGGGGTGCCATGGTTGAGCCTGGGTACAGCCAGTATGTTTTCCATCACTATGGCACCCATACGAGAGTCCACACAGAGTGAACTTAGACTACGGTAGGGCCCATCTGGGGGGGGATAATCCTACGCACACACTGGGTGTTAGTATGGGATAGGTACTGGGTACATCTCATCCCACAGGTATCTCACGATGCCTGCGGGTGGTGCTTCATCCAGGCTGGGGACCGCGGGTATTCTCATGGGGGGAATTAGTCAGATGGTGGATTCTTGGGGAGCCTTGGGTAGGAAAGCATCATGGTTAGGATAGGAAAGGGCAGGATATCGCATCTTAGTGGAAGGGCGTTTCGCTGCCTATAGAGTTTGTGGGATGAGGCACAGATGGGGGATGACTGCATATGCATGGACCCCACCTGTGCCCGGGTCGTCCTTAGAGTTAGGGTAGCGTCTGCATGAAGACGTTTGGGTTAGTCCGGTAAGCGTTGGTGCAGATCACAACTTGCGATCTGAGCATTGGCATAGGTCATGCTACCATGGTGCCATCTTGAAGTGACGTCCCCTGGGTCCCTGCAATCCATCTGACCTCCCAATGGACGAGTACTACAGGCACCTCCTGAGGCCTGGCCACCAAAAAAAAAAAAAAAAAAAAAAAAAAAAAAAAACAACCAACCAACAACAACAACACAGGTCTATCAATAGCAGACTAGCAAGCAGTGGTAGGACAAGAGGTTTGTGAGGGCAAGGAATACAGTGGATGATGCAAGGATGATTGCATTGCATCCCTGACTGAGAGAGAACATCCCATGAATAGGAGAGTGGTGCTGGTGGGAGCACATGTACGCCGAACATCCAACTGGAAAACATTTGTGCTCTCTTATTTGATAACGTCCATTGCAACGGTTCAAGATTGTGACTATAGATCCATGCAATGCTGATGATAGAAGTGGAGTTTCTCAGGCGCTGTGGGACACATTCTGTGATCATTGCCCTCACATTGCCATGTGGTGGCATGGAAACACATGCCAGATGAAAACTGTAATGCCATGCCTATGTTGATCTGCTTCTCTTAAGCATCAAAGAAAGTGTTGTCTGTCTCTCTTGATTGATAAGCGCTTGTAATTTTTTACTGTGCCATCTTGTCTTCTGTGTTGGAAAAGCAGATTGACTATCTCCGTGCTCTTGTAGTACCATCGGTGATTCATCATGTGTCGTCTTGTCTTCTATGTTGGAAATGCAGATTGACTGTGCCATCTTGTCTTCTGTGTTGGAAATGCAGATTGACTATCTCTGTGTACTTGTAGTACCATCGGTGATTCATCATGTGCCATCTTGTCTTCTATGTTGGAAATGCAGATTGACTATCTCCATGTGCATGTAGTACCGTCGGTAATTCATCGTGATATAAAGGCGGGAAACATTTTACTTGATGATAGGTTCCATGCCAAGCTGTCTGACTTTGGCCTCTCAAAACTCCTTTCCGAGGATGAGCAATTTACTCACGTTACCACAGATGTCCGGGGAACTGCTGGTATGCCTCGTTTCCCACAAAACGGCTTCCTCTCTCTTCCTCCTCTCCCCTCCTCTCTCTCTCTCTCTCTGTGTGTGTGTGTGTGTGTGTGTGTGTGTGTGTGTGTGTGTGTGTGTGTGTGCAAAAGGAAAAGTCTGATATTTGATTTATCCCACAGCGCTATCATCACCATGACCACGAAGCACAGAAATCCAGATTGCAAAATCACACTGAAGTCCATGTAGTCAAAGCAAGAGCAGATAGCACAATGGAACCGAGTAACCATCCATTTGAGAACGATACAGAATCGTGAGTCAATGTCCAAGCCCAACAGGGCAACACCAACAGCATAACCCAATGTAGCTTTCTCTCTTGAATGGTGCCAGGCGCCCTACCTACTCTACAGCATATCACTACAACTACAGTATGAAAGCAACCAGACAACTTGACGACCAGCGAGTGATGATGTCAACACCAATGCCGACCTCCCATCTCCACCAGGTACGTCTCTCTCTTCACTCACACTCTCCCTTGTTATCCCACACGGCGCCCTTCACCTCCGAAGAACCACCATCGCCCTCACCTCCCCTGTCATCGCCATTGTGATCATCATCATGGCCACTACCATGAGCATCACCCCATCACGGTCGCCATGGCCTCTCAGAACTCCTTTCCGAGGATGAGCAATTTACTCACGTTACCACAGATGTCGGGGGAACTGCTGGTATGCCTTGTTTCCCACAAAACGGCTTCCTCTCTCTTCCTCCTCTCCTCTCTCCTCTCTCTCTCTCTCTCTCTCTCTCTCTCTCTCTCTCTCTCTCTCTC